AAAATATTTTCTTTGTTCATCTGTTTCAAAAAGAATGTCACCTTTCTATATTTAGTAGTCTTTATTACCAACATTCTCATTTTAGCTTTATTCCCTTAATGACACTGTGTTGGTGGGAGGTAGCAGGTACTTGATGGAATTAGTCGAGGTGCATGCAAGCTGTCTCGGACACCACCCATAAAAAAGAAGATTTGAAAACCTCCTTCGCACTATTAAAATTATGCTCACTTTAATTAACACACAAGATGAAACGAAGGGAGTGGTATATGAAGATGCAAACCTAGTTTTTGAACTCAACCCATATAGTCCAGCACAGTCCCATATTCATAGAAGATAATATTACCATCAATCAATCAACTATGCATTGTAAAGGGACTGAGAAACTATGGCAGTGGTTCATTAGCCTCAGGGGTATTAGATGGACCATGCCAAGGAATACTACAGATGTTCTAGCATGTTGGAATAGAGATGAAAATCAGTCAAGACACAAGGAGAGATGAAAGATTGTCCCTGCCTGCATCAAGTGGACAATATGGAGGGAGAGAAATCAGAGATGTTTTGAGAACAAAAGCATTCCCTTCCAAAGCCTAAAAATGAACTGTTAAGTGACCTTTTTACTTTTGGTGTATCCATGCTGCACCAAAGGATCAGGGGGATATTAGCCCTATTTTTAGATAGTTTTGAAGGGAGATAGGTGATAGATGTCTTTTTTGTCTGTCCCTCTACCATTTTGATGTAATTACTACAGAAGTACACTATTGGTGTATTTCTCTGTTTATGATACTAGTTAACTTTCTCAAAAAAAGAAAATCAATCAACAATGCATCAATCCATAATTAGTAGGATCAACTTTATCAAACCTATATATCCATTCCGGTTTTGAGGTCACACTATTCCAATGCTAGCAAAACAATCTCGCAAGGCAGAGGTTTTCTATAATTCACCCCCAATTCAAACTAGCTAGAATTGACTATATAAACTGTATCCATTCCACTCTATTCAACTCGATTCCTTTGCGAAAGTGGCAATTAATTTATCTTATAAGACATTCTTTGTCACCCATTTTTAATGGTTTTGTAAAAAAACTAATTTACATGTATCTCGATTATTTCACCAACTATGTGCATTCTCCTGCAAGTACAAGACCAAAGGGCTCTGTCCACTTAGACTTTGGAAAATGAGAAGAAATCACCTACTACTGCCAAGAATCAAATCTTTGTCTCTCATGGTTTTCGTTTCATCTTCATCGAAAGTAGGCTAAGTTTTTCTTTTTCGGATAACAGAGAAATCTCTTGTTCTTTCAGACTCTCTTTTTTTAAAAGGTGAATGTTTTTATATCTTGTTCTTCCCGACTCTTCTCGACCTTGAGATCAAGTGTTAGACTAATTAAGGGTTCCCTAAAACCAGAAGTTCTCTAAATCACACACTTAAAACTACATTGACATACAAGCTTCTGCTGTAAGTTAAAACTACATTTGCAAACGTTCAAAACAACTCACCAAAACAAAATAATAAACAACAAAATTTACAAACAAAAATAGAGAAAGAGAAAAAAAAAAGTTACTTTTTTCGAAAACTAAAGGTAAAATTAATTAATTTATTTTTTTCTGACAAGGAAACCCGCAGCCGCTACCCTTTGGGTGCGCACAGGGTAAAACTCCCTCTCCTATGCAATAACTCGCAAACCACATAAGAGAGGTAACCCGCACTAGGCAAGCCCGGTGCGACGAGCTCGACCCAGAAGGCAAACCCCTTGCTTTCGCTGGAAAGGGGTTTCGAACTTGAGACCTCCAACATGGAAGTCCCAAGCCCAGACCACTGGGCCACCCCGAAGGGTTAAAGGTGCACTTAATTCTACACTAGCATAGCCCTATCTAACTAAAACCTACTACTATCAAAAGTTCAAACTTTTCAATTACAAACAAACAAAACAGAAAGCCAAATCATACTTCTAAATTAAATAGGCAATAGCAAAATCTCAGATAACAAAAATAGAGAAAAGATAATTTCTTATAAAACTAAAAGGTCTTTAAATCTCACACATATTGCAACACTGGCATCTAAATCTCTACTAATTACTACAGAAATCATACAACTTCTTCACTTACAAATATTCACAAAATTCAGCTCATAATCAAAAAAACATAAAAGCAAAATTCTACATACTAAAACAGAGGAGAAAAAATACTTTTCTAAACTAAAATTGACATACAGATTCCAGAACCTAACCAGATACTACTACTATTGAAATTTACAGCTTTATCACAAATATTCAAAAAAAAGCATGCAAAAAGGGAAAGAATAAAAAGGAAAATGGAGAAGCATACGCTGGATCGCGACTGCATATATCGCAGATCTCGACATTCATCGCCCAATCAGGACCCATGAGCATATCGCTCGTCGCTCGTTCCACCAAAAAATTCACCATCCTATTACCGCCAGAAAAAAATCCGTCACCGATCAAACAATAAATTGATCGCCGGCGAACTCGAAATCTCCGGCGCCAAAAAAATCACCGGCGAGATTCCGAAAAAACGAATCAAATAATCGTCTCAAATCATATGATTCTCTCTTTCTCTCTCTATAGATTGCATTTTTCTTATGTTCTATTATGATCATAATAATTAGTTTTTTTTTTTCCATAAGCAAGAATAAAATAAAAAATCTAACCAATGGGAAGTGAACACGTGTATTGTATTTTAAAAAGATTTATGTTTTATCGGCTCCTATTAAATTCGAGAAAATGACATAAATAGTCCCTATAATAATTATAGGAGTAGGTTTAAAATAGTCTCTTAACTATACACTTAATGGATTTAGTCATTTAACTATTCAAAAATTTAACAACTTTAGTCCCTTAATTATACGCTTACCGATTTTAGTCCCTTAACTATAAACTTATCGATTTTAGTCCTTTAAATATTCAAAAATTTATCAGGTTTGGTCTTTGTCCATTTTTTTTAATACAAATAGCTTAGATTTATATTAACCAAAATCTTTGTGAAATTAATTCTTTAACCCATTTTTTAAGTTGTTTCTCTATCCCCGTCCTTTTTTCTTCAAACTATTCTTATGAAAAGAACAATAACGTCATTCAAAATAAAATTAATGAGGAAAGAAGATATAAGTTCTAATTTTATTCAATGGAGGATAAAATTAAGCACTTGAATATGCTAATCAGTGGGGATTTTATTTAATATACTCAAATTTCTTTATGTAAAATAAAATGAATAGAATAATAAAAATTGATCTATTTAAAAAAAATTAAAAAAATTACAAATCTACCATTTTATAAATTTCAATTTATGAAAAATAAAAAAAAATGTTCAATGAAGTTGTTGGAGTATAACATTTGGATTTAACGCGTAATAAATTTTTTTTCTTTTATAATAAATTTTAACATATTGAAGTCATTAGTAGCAATAATATGTTTCATTTTATTCTCTGTTGAATAAAATTATGACTTATATTTTCTTTCCTTGTGAATTTTATTTTAAATCGTTGAGGTTTAGGTTTTTCGCATAAGGTTAATTTGAAGAAAAAGTAGCGGAGAGAGAGAAACAACAGAAAAAGTTGCTAAAAGATTTAATTTCTCGAGGCATGGATTCTGTTAATATAAATCAAAGTTATTTGTATTAGAAAAAAATGGACAAAGACCAAACTTGATAAGTTTTTGAATACTTAAAGGACTAAAATCGGTAAGTTTATAGTTAAGGGACTAAAACCGGTAAGTGTATAGTTAAGGGACCAAAGCTGATAAGTTTTTAAATAGTTAAAGGGCTGAATCCATTAAGTGTATAGTTAAGGGACCATTTTAGACTTACTCATATAGTTAAGGGACTATTTATGTCATTTTCTCGACCAAATTCATATACCTATAAATTATAAGTAATAAGTTTTTAGTTAATTTAAATCCCAAATAGTTAGATTTACATTTATTCACAATCACGAGGTTCGTCATTCATTTCTAAAGTTCAAACTTGAGAGTTTTAGTTAAAAGCAGAGAAATCTCAACCATCCTGTCACCAGGGGCGGAGCTACACTTGCTTGAGGGGGTCAAGCGACATCCAGTTTTAGTTAAAAAACAGAGAAATCTCAACCATTCTGCCACCAGGGGCGGAGCTACACTTGCTCGAAGGGGTCAAGCAACACCCCTTTGTTTAAAAATTATATTGTATAGATAGGTTAAAATTTAATTTTATAAATAAGTTAAATATATCCGAGACATCTTGATGTCAAATGACACATGTTGAAGATTTGCGTAGTAGTTAAGGTATTGCAAAAACTTTCTTAAGGTTTTATGTTCAATCTTAGCTAGTGACAAAATTAAATATTTTGACATTCCTCGATGAATATTCTAACTCTGTCACTGTCCGCCACACATCATGGTGGTAATCTTTTACTCCCTCCGTCCCTATTTACTTGTCCATATTTCCTTTTTTAGTTGTCCCTATTTAGTTGTCCATTTTGACAAATCAAGAAAGGACAACAAATTTTTTCCTATTATACCCTTATTTACACTTCTTGAAAATTGTAAAAGTGTATGTTGTTTCCCTCCAATTTATTTCACTTTAATTCAAATAAGTGGTTGAAATTTTAAAGTGAAAAGTTGTCATAAGGGTAAAATTGTAACTTCACTGTGCTAATCATTGTTGCCTTAATCTGTGTGCCATTTCTAAAGTGGACAACTAAAAAGGGACGGAGGGAGTAACATTTTTACTAAAAAAAATTGTAAGTTTTGATATGCATGCATAATTATGATTTGTAAAAGTTACACATTTCATTGATATCTACATCATATTTTTAACTAATGCAGAAAACAAGAGTGGAATGTGAGAAAAATCAAACAGTTTTTGACCTTTGGCCATAATACAACTTTCATTCAAATGAAGAGCCATTACAAAGCTTATTTTCCTAATTCCTACAAGACTTGATGAGTGAGATTACTCAATCTTTTATGAATATATTGTTTGAGCAAAAGCTACTGAGTTCGGCCTCTGCTCATCAATAGGGAACGGGAACTCGCACCGTGGGAGGCCCTGACTTCATATCCTCCAAGAGAAGATTTAGCAGAGCTTGTGTCACAGGACCTTCTCTACCTACATTAAGGAGGAGGAAGAAACAGAAAGGAGATCAGAATACAATCAAGTAAAGTAGCCAAAATTTCATTTGTAACGTCTCGAACGATCGTAAATTGATGTCACCTTGCATAATTATATGAAAACTAGCTTCAACAGAACAAGGTTTTAGATAGGACTTGTTTGTTTAGAAAGAGTGAATATATGTTGGTATATAATATATGACGCGTAGCCACATGCAGTTAAGGGTGGTCTGTTGAACACCCTTGATGAAATTTCTGGCTTTACCACTGTCAATCTAGTCTTAGTTTGTCGAGCAGTACTTACGTTGGATCCATTAATCAAGAAAAGACCATTTCATGCTCGAATTTTGAAATATCAGGCTTTGAGCAAAGCATAAGAAACCAAAGCAAATGGAATAAAGAGGCAACAGTGCATAGTTAAATATTGTTTCGATGGAAGCAGAGAAACGCTTACCATTACCGATGACTTCTTCATCCCACTGCACCACCGAGCGTACAAGAACCCCACTACCAATTAGCATCATCTCATCTGCTCTTTTCGCGTCCTGTACAGACACATTTTCTACTCTAATGCCCCGAAGTTTACCTTCCTTTACTAGATTTTCTGCAAGAACCGCAACTCTTTTAGCTGTACAGCCACTGAGAATTTTGTCAAAACAAGGCATCAGAAGTTCCTTTTCCTTTGTAACAAAAGCCACGTTCATGTTCGGGCCTTCTGCAACAAAGCCATCGCCATCCAACCAAATTGCTGCATATGCATCATTTTCTTCTGCTTCCATCTTGGAAAGTGCATTCGGAAGATAATTAACACTTTTCATGACAGCAAACTGTGGGGGTTTAATCGGGATGGATGACGTTACAACTCTAATGCCCCTGTGATCAGGAGGTGATTGATCTTTAATTACAATGGCATAAAGAGTTGCTTGATGACAGCCGGATGAAGATAGTTGAAAATCACCAGGTCCTGCCGAAAGCCAGTATCTTAAAGAACCTTTTCTGCACTTGGAAACACTTACTGTACGGATGAGAATCCGTCTAATGCTTTCCCTATCAAAAGGAATTTGTATTTTGGCCATGGTTGCAGATCCCATGAAACGATCAAGGTGTTGGTCCAACTCATAAAGGTATCTGATGGTAGATAAGAAATAAGACAAATAAAGCAAAACCCAAGAATCTCAACTATCTTTTAGCTTCTCATTCTTGTTCACAGTCATGTCGATTACAACTAATCCCACACTCGAGAGTTGCTTATCTAATGTATTGCTAGAAATCGACGATTTCCCCACATAGAACATAAGATAAGGGTTCAAGAGTAGCTAGAAGAGCTAATTGAACAAAAAGAACAAGAATTTGGCCAAGTTAGAGAGATAACTAAGTTATTGTGTGTTCTATCTGCAAGAAAATCAGAGCTTATTATCTCAACTTACGAGTACGAAATACCACCTAATGTAAAGGGGTTTATATCACAATTTACATGTTGACAAACCTGAAATCCCCAAACAGCATATTATGAAACACTGCAGGATGATAAATTGACTAGTCGAACTTCGCAATGAATTCATACCAAGACAAATTTTATCAAAGGAGATGCATGAGCATGGTCACTTGGATATGTGTTTATGTAATCAAGTGCAGCTCTAGGAACGATAAATCTCTTTTTAGGCTTAATCTATGTTACATACAGGAACGGAAATTCAATCTAACAAATCAACTTTGGTGGATAAAGAACCGAAATTATAGTCAGAAATGCTAACCCATCCATAATGGCAGCAGTATCAAAGACACCATGCCCTCTATGAACCATGTGATCATCCATGGGGATCACCATGGCAGCTGTATCAGTTGTGATTCCACCAAAAACGCTTGAGTACATTGCCAAATAAAGCTGCTTGGTGTTGTGACCTTCTCGACTAGTTCTCATCCTCTCAATAACCTTTACAGGGAAAATAAAGACCATTTACTTTTGAGAAGCCCTTTTATCGATATCAGCTACAAGGTTTATGTACTCTATGAAGTATGAAGTATCCCCTATAATTTATCGATTATTCATTGATACTTTGTGGTTATCATCTTTTAGCAATACACAATGCAGAAGCCAGGTTATTCTTTTTACTTTCCTTATTTCTAGTGAAAACCGGGATTTGTAATCATACAGGACATGTAAGTTTCAGATAATCTGTTCTGAAGAAGGTGCTAAGAAAGAGAAATGAAGCTTATCAAGACAGAAAACAAAGTAGACGATGTAAGAGGGAAGCCCGGTGCATTAAGCTCCTGCTATGCACGGGCCCGGGAAAGGACCGGACTACAAGGGTCTATCGTACAGTCTTACCTTGCATTTCTACAAGAGATTGTTTCCATAGCTCGAACCCATGACCCCCTGATCACATGGCATTAACTTTAGTAGTAGACCATGTACAACAACAACGTACCCAGTGTAGTCCCACAAAGTAGGATCTGGGGAGGGTAGATTATACGTAGACCTTACCCCTACCTCAGAGGTAGAGAGGTTGTTTCCCATAGACCCTCAGCTCAAGAAAAACAGTCCAAAGCAGTCCAGAAAAAGAAATAATCGAAGTACAAGAACCAACAAATAGTAATAAAAACAACAAATAGTAACAAAACAGTACTACAACATAACAATATGATAGTCAAAGTACGAAGAAACAACATATAGTAACAGTTTTCGTAGGACAAGAAACTACAAGAGTAAATCCCATATTACTAGTTTTTGACTTTTGAACCAGCTTAATTCAACCATAAATCAGAAGAATTACTGTTGAAAGGGTGAACAGAACAGACCACCTTTGGAAATGCCTTGAGCAAGCTGAATTTACAAAAGCTAAACTTCTTTTGTTTTAAAACCAGTGTTATCAAAGGCGCGCTTAAGCCCTAAAATGAGGCTCAAAACGTGTTGAGCGCTTCGCCTCACTTAGTGTGCGCTTCGCCTCACTTAGTGTGCGCTTCAGTGTCGTCATTAAGGTTCTAAGGCACACTTTTCCTTGTGAATGAGCATCTTCTAAAGAGGCGACACTAAGAAATTGATATTTGACTTTATCGTAATTTTTCTTCAATTTCTTTGTTCATATACTTGTTGTCATTCAAGCTTATATATTAGTTTTGGACTAATAATGTATATTTATATTTTTTCTCCCTTTGTGCCTTTTCTCATTAAGGTCCATCCTTTATTTGCGCTTAAAGCTCCAATGAACCTTAAAGCTTTTGATAACACTGTTTAAAACAAGATGGCAAGGTGGAATTTAGAACCAGTTGCTTAACTAGAATACAAGCCACATAGAAGGAATGATGGCCAGAAAATGTACTGTCCACTTTTTAAGTTCAAACAACTCCGTTCTCCATTATATTGACTCTTTCTCACTGTTTTCAGATAATATGTTGCTTGTCATACTTTCCTTTTTAGTCCTTACTAGTAGGGAGGATGGTTAGTAAGAAGGAGTGCATCTACACGAGTAAGTAGGAACGTATGCTTGTCGCACTTACTAGTAGGCATAGTTCTACTTTTTGTAGTTTCTTGTTTATCAATTTAGGTTACTATCAGTTATTTCGTGCGCAGTTCAATTATTGTTATACAACTGTTCTGATACTTCCATTACATCTTTATCTAAAATGTTTTTGTCTTGAGCCGACTGTCCATCGGAAACATCCATTCTACCTCACCTCAAAGGTAGAGGTAAAGTCTTTGTACACTCTAACCTCCCCAAACGTCACCCTGTGCGATTACACTGGTATGTTGTTGTTGACTTACCATTTTAATCCGTTTAAAAAAGAACATATGTTTCCTTTTTCAGCAACTCTTTAATTTTCACTTTCCACACACTATACAATTTAGTATATTCTACGTATCTTTAGTAACTAAAAACACAATATTCAAAGGCCCTTTTTTACTTTCTTAAACCCCACGTTAAGTCAAGTCAAAACCAAACAATCAAATCAACTCCACATCAAGTTAAAACCAAACAAACAAATCGACTCTACTTCAAGTCAAAACCAGACAAACTAATCAACACCACATCAAATCAAAACCACACAAACAAATCGAGGGAGAGATTTCAAGCTCTGACTCAGTATGTGATAGGAAAAATGAAGTCTTTACATAAACATTTAAGATTGAAGAAAAGAAAAGCCAAACCTCTGAGCAAGAAAGAAGTGGAACATCAAAGGTTGGACCATATTGTCCACCTGCCCCACACCAAACAGCTAGCCATGTTAGTACTATCATTAAAAAAATAAAAATAAAAAAAATCAAGATTTACCAGAGGAAAAAGTTGAGTTCTTGAAAACATTGGATCTGGTTAAAGGTCTAATCTTTGATCTTAAAAATTCCAAATTGCTTAATTTTGGTAGAAAAAATGAAGTTTCTGAGATGGGTTTTGTGAGAGTTGGTAAAGAAGTCATTGTATCTTTAGCTAATTTTACAAATTTTGTGTGAAAAAAGTGGCATAAATAATCATAACTTCTTGAAATAATCAAATGTTTTTTTCCAAACAAAACAAAATTTTCATAAAAATAGTACCAAGTGGACTGCAATTGTTGTTTACTGTGTCCTTTCTTGGTTATATGTTCTAGAAAAAATATTGTTATTTTTATAACTGTGGTCCGATTTGTATTTTGACTAACTCTATATATATATAACAATAAAAATATGAATAATTTTTTAGTTGATCCAGAAAAAATATATTTTTATATTTAGTAATAATTTAAATTTAAAATATTTATTTTAACCTTAATAAAATGATTATCAGCCACATAAATATCTATCATTCATTTTAGATAACAAAATTTCAAAAAAAAATTACTTTTAAAAAAAAACTGTATCAAGTCAAATTAACTCATATAAATTGAGACAAAAAAAGTAACTATTCAATTCATTGTTACTGTCATTTTCCACCATTATAAATTGTTGTTATCGTTGTCACAATTATCAACTACGTGTCATAAATGGTTTTCACATATATAAATTTTATTTATTTTTAAAAAATAAGTAATTGTCAAAGTACAAATCATATCAAACAAATTAAAATAAAGAGAGTATGATTTTTCTTTCAGAATTTAACTGCCACAAAATTAGCGCTTTGGACTAATGATTTAAAGTAGGTGTTTGTACCTACGATTTCATCTCGTGATTTAAAATCAATGTTTGAACAATTAATTTTATCTCTTGATTAATTTTGAATTATGAGATGAAATGATCTCAAATTCTCCAAAAATCTTGATTTGAGAATTTCATATTTCATATCATGATTTCACATTTATTAAATATAAAAATTGAACGACAAGTTTATATTTTATATACTAAAAAAAAAAGACCACCATGTTGTATCTATCGACAATTTATTTCATATGTGTAAATAAAATTCATAGTTGATATTATTATTTTTTATAGATCTTTAAATTATTAATGTCAAATATAAATATTACCCTCACAAACTAAATTTATAATTGATATTATTATTTTAATTAATCTTTAAATTATTTATATCGAAAAATGCATATTCAACGTGAAAAAGATAGTATGTGAATTAAAATACCCCTATCCAACGTTTTTTCATACATTAATAAGGATGGTTTCTGTTTGGAGAAAAAAATAACAAGACTTTACCTAGGAGAATAACCAAATTGCAAATCATGTAGGTCCAATCTAATGTTGGATGGCACATCAAGAATTAATGTCCATATATATATATTAAAAGATTCGAAATATCGAAAAAAAATTAAATCTAAAAAATTGAAATTATGTTAGAGGAAACTTTGAGTAGGTCAAGATCAAATAGAAAAAAGTAAAACTATTTACAATAAAACTGTTTTTGTTTTCGAAATCACCTTCTTTTTCGTAATCAATCTTCCTTTTAGTTGTTTCTCATCCTTTTTGTTCTTCTTTAATTATATGAATAAATATTGGGAAAAAAATTAATTGGATAAATAATCAGTGTACACTCCATGTAGAGTTAAGTTATATTTCATTTTTTGAGTGTTTCATATATAGTCAGTGTATAGCTCATGCATAGGTAAGCTATATTTTAGTTTTTTGAATGTATAATCAGTGTAGACTTTCCATGGATCTTGACTATTTTTTATGTAAATAAAAATATGACTATATTTATTATAAACGAATTACTTTATTGTATATATTTAAAATTAAACTTCGAAACTTTCATTGTAAACTTGGACTCTTGTCATCGAGAATATTTTATATTTATTTTTTTGTTTATTACGGAAAAAAACAAAACTACAACAACTAATTTACAAAAGACAAAACAAACTATTTCACACAACAATTTAACCTCTAAAATACAAATCATTTGTATTTCGTTGAGTGACAAAAACAGTTACGTTAACTTTTTAGATAATTAATTAATTAATATTTGTGTGAAGAAAGTATTGAATTGACATGAATATCGAGTTTTACTTGTCTTACCCTTTCAGTTATATTTTCCATTAATGTTTTTTCTTACTAACCCTCTATCGATATGATACTCTCATATCTAAAATCATGCATATCTTTGACATATTATAGTTATATCATATTTTGTCTAATCATTTTTTTGTATTTTAAGGTAAGTAACACTAAAACATATTAATTATTATTTATTATAATATTTGGTGCATAAAAACAAAAGAAGATATATATGGACTCCCTCCCTCCAATTGTTTACATCACATTAAGTTTTTTTTTGTGGGAGGGGGGAGGGGGCGTCTACCTAAAAATAGACAGAAATGAATGCAAGACTTCGAAAGCTTGCAAGGCTTGAAGCTCATAAATGGACGATTTGAGATCCATTTGGGGGGGGGGGGGGGGGGGGGTATATGAATGATAGTACAGTGCAATAATAGTACTATTGTATTCACATGTTGTCGATGGTGTCGTTTAAAATCATTGTTAGGTAACGATGAAAAGATTCACTTTATATAACGACTGATTTGGTGTGATCACGTCATTATCTTAATATCTTATTCTCATTTCGTCTTCATTTATTATTTAATAAATTCTATTTTAACTTTTTTTTTAATCTACTTTTTCATAGTAGTTTTATCTCATAACCTAGTTTTCTCGTAGGTTTATCATCCAAATTATGAAGTGTGACATAATATAACGACGGAGAACGATGCGTGTTATCCAAACATTGTATTCATTAAAACAATATAATACTATATAATATAACACGATACATTATAACGACTTCTAATTAAGAATGTTGTAGTATTATAACAATTACTAGATTAAAGTTCAAATTTCTTACTTATTAATTACACAACAACACAAAATCAATTGATCATATTCTATATTGAAAATCAAATAGGAGTACTAAGTAATTGAGTAACATTTCGTGACGAAATTAAATAGTTCACTGTATAGTTAATATATATATTACAAATTCACTTGTAGAAATTATATCAAAATTTTATACTATGGTATAATTTAAAGTAGCTAAGATATGTGAGACCAAGGTGGATCCTTTGATGTAGATGAATTTACTTTATTGTGGTCCAATAATTAATAACATAGAAATAAATATAATATGGTGTATATATATGTTATTTATAAAAAATCATATTTTTTCATGCCAAAATATAAATTTTCCAACTTTATAACGTGACTTACTTGTTTTTTTTATATATACGTATCACTGCTTGAAATAATTTTATCTTCTCCACATTATTATATCTCGTTTTCGACTTCACCATAATGAATTCAAGCAATCACAGAGTCATTACATGCAAAGGTGAGATTTTAATTTCTCTCTACATGCATACTATGAATTAAATAAAAAAAGATACTAGAAACTTTCTTGTCTAACGATCAAGTCATGAATATAATGATTTCAAATGATGTAATCAGAAATTCTCTCTACATGCATACTATGAATTATCTAAAATGCTTTTGTCTTGAGCCGAGTGCCCATCGGAAACATCCATTCTACCTCACCTCGGAGATAGAGGTAAAGTCTTTGTACACTCTAACCTCCCCAAAAGTTACTCTGTCGGATTACAGTGGTATGTTGTTGTTGACTTACCATTTTAATCCGTTTAAAAAAGAATATATGTTTCCTTTTTCAGCAACTCTTTAATTTTTACTTTCCACACACTATACAATTTAGTATATTCTACGTATGTTTAGTAACTAAAAACACAATATTCAAAAGCTCTTTCTTTACTTTCTTAAACCCCACGTCAAGTCAAAACCAGACCAACAAATCAAATTCACATCAAGTCAAAACCCCACATCAAATCAAACCCAAACAAACAAATTAACTCCATGTCAAATTAAAATCAGACAAATAAATCAACTCCACATCAAGTCAAGACCAAACAAACAAATGAACACCATCAAAACCAAACAAACAGGGGAGCTTTCAAGCTCTGACTCAACATGTGATAGGAAAAATGAAGTCTTTACACAAAAATTTTCAAAAAAATAGTACCAAGTGGACTGCAATTGTTGTTTACTGTGTCCTTTCTTGGTTATATGCTCTAGAAAATATTGTTATTTTTAGAACTACGAAATTTGTATGTATATTGACTAATTCTACGAAATATATGTCACATTTATTGATTAGCAGTGTTTTGGTTATAAAAAAAAAAATTCAAACCAAAAAATCGAATCAAGTCAATTAAATAAATTGATTTTATATGAATTCATGTAAAAAAAAATGAATCGAATTAAATTGATTAAATAAATTAGTTATTTAGATTTTATATTTTTTGTTTATTATGAAAAAAAAAAAAAAAACTACAACAAACAAACTATTTCACAGCATAATTTCACCAGTGATTTCTTCGAGTGACAAATAGGGTTATGTAAGTTTTTTATATAATTAATTAATTAGTATTTGTGTAAAGAAAATATTGAATTGACATGAATATCGAGTTTTACATGTCTTACCCTTTCAATATATTTCTTCTAATGTTTTTTCTTACTAACCTTCTATCAATCTGATACTAACTTCATATCTAAAATCATGCATATCCTTGATATATTACAGTTATGTCATATTTTGTCTAATTATTTTCCGTATTTTACGGTATAAGTAACACTAACACATATTAATTATTATCTATTATAATATCTTGTGCATAAAAACAATATATGGACTTCCTCCCTCCAAGTGTTTATATCACATTAAGATTGGGTTTTTTTTGGGTGGGGGTGGGGTGGGGGTGGGGGTGGGCTGGGGGTATATGAATGATAGTACAGTGCAATAATAGTACTACACAATAGTATTCACATGTTATCTATCGTTTAAAATCATTGTTAGGTAATGATGAAAAAACTCACTTTATATAACGACTGATTTTGTATGATCACATTATTATTTTAATATTCTATTTTCATATTGTCTTCATTTATTATTTATAAATTATGTTTTGACTTATCTTTTACTCTATTTTTTCATAGTAATTTTATCGCATACCCTAATTTTCTCGTAGGTTTACCATCCAAATTATGAAGTGTGACATTATATAACGACGGAGAACGATACATGTTATATTCATTAAAACAATATACTATAATACAATGTACAATATAACACTATACATTATGAAATAATATTAACGACTTCTAAGAATGTTGTAGCACTATAACAATTACTAGATTAAAGTTCAAATTTCTTATTAATTACACAACAACACAAAATCAATTGATCATATTCTATATTGAAAATCAAATACTAAATAATTGAGTAACATTTCGTGACGAAATTAAATAGTTCACTGTATAGTATATAAATATATATATATTGCTAATTCACTTGTAGAAATTATATCAAAATTTTATACTATAGTATAATTTAAGACACTAATATAAAAGTATAGCTAAGATATGTGAGACCAAGGTGGATCCTTTGATGTAGATGAATTTTTCATGCCAAAATATAAATTTCCCAACTTTATACCGTGACTTACATGTTTTTTTTTTATATATATATATATATATATATATATATATCACTGCTTGCTTGAAACAATTTTATCTTCTCCACATTATTATATCTCGTTTCGACTTCACCATAATGAATTCAAGCAATCACAGAGTCATTACATGCAAAGGTGAGATTTTAATTTCTCTCTACATGCATACTATGAATTAAATAAAAAAAGATACTAGAACCTTTCTTGTCTGACGATCAAATCATGAATATAATGATTTCAAATGATGTAGTCAGAAATTTCGTTAAATAAATGCAGGTGCAGTAGTATGGAAGTCCGGAGAGGAGTTGAAAATAGAAGAAATAGAAGTCGATCCACCAAAATCAACAGAAGTTAGAATTAAAATGATTTATGCTAGTTTATGTGGTACTGATGTTCTTTGTTGCAATGGCTTTCCAAAGGTATATATGGAAATTTCTTTGAAATTACAATTTTTATCGCGAAATAATAAAAAATCGCTATGTATTTCATTTAATCATCGATAACTATAAATTACATTTTTTAGCGATAAATTTCATAGCTAATAATTATCTGATCTATTGTTGATAATTCTCAGCCTTTGTTCCCTCGCATTCCTGGACATGAAGGAGTTGGGTAAGAATAATTGATTTCTCTCATATATATTTTTAAATTTAGAAAAATATAAAAGTTCATTGAAATTGCAATAAATAATATATATTTGAACTTAAAATTCTAAAAATACAATCATTTCAATACTATTTTTTTTGAAGATTGAATCATAAAGTATAAATTTTGAATCTAATTTTTCGTATTTTCTACCATTTTTGAAAATAAGAAAATGATGGACGTGGAATTAGACAAGGCGTATTATGTGTGAAAGCTACTTCAGACAATATCATAAATTTAACGATTCAAGTCGCTAGTGATATTGTTCGTTTTAGGCCTTAGTCCGCACGACTTTGAAAAACGTCATTAGGGTGTAAAAACATGCTTACTTATATGCACAACATCTCTCAAGTCTCACGTATTTAGCCGATATGAAATTTCTTATCCTAAATAGAGATGTAACAATAATTATAATTTTTTAAAATTAATTTTATCTATATTTCTTATATATGAAACTTTTTTTTGTTTTTTTTTTCGTAGTGCGATAGAAAGTGTGGGAGAAAGTGTAAAAGATTTGAAAGAAGGAGACATCGTGATGCCACATTTCTTGGGAGAATGTGGAGATTGTCCCAATTGCAAGTCCAAAAGATCCAATTTATGCCATAAATACCCTTTAAATTTTAGTGGATTATTGTTGGATGGAACATCAAGAATGTCTATTAATGGTCAAAAAATTTATCACCATGTTAGTTGTTCAACATTATCAGAATACATAGTTCTTGATGAAAACTATGTTATTAAGGTTGATCCTAGGTTACCAATTGAACATGTTCCTTTTTTATGTTGTGCATTTACAACTGGTTTTGGAGCAACATGGAAAGATGTTAACATTGAAAAGGGTTCAACTGTTGCTGTCCTTGGTCTTGGAGGTGTTGGACTTGGTGTAAGTACATTCGATAGAACTAATGTTTACTGGTCATTTTTTAATCGAAAAATATTGATTCATATGAATTTTCTGAAGTTTCACATGTGAAATTTGATATTTTATGACGTTGACTATTTTTCAACTATGGAGGTAAAAGCTTAGTTAGTTATATGTTTTGTGAATGTTATTAGTACATTCAATGTTGTTTATTGGCCGGTTCAGTTTAGTTATCATTGCATAGGAATTTTTTAAAATTTCACATATGAAATTTGATATTTTATCATGATGACCAGTTTTCAATTATGAGTGTAAGTACATGCGATAGAAATAGCATTCAGTGATCACTTTTCAATCTTATAATTAAGAAATTGTCATTATTATATTATAAAGTTTCATTTTTCACAACTGAATATTGAGGACATGAAATCCTCACACTAGTGAAATTCAAAAGTTTATGATGTATAACGAGTAATATACAGAAATTAAAAAGTGATAATTATTTATGAAATTTACATGTATATATCAATTTATTTATAAGTCGATTTGATTTTCTATTAGCTAATGCTATAGAAATATTATTTACTGAACACTTTTCAATCTGTCTTTAAAAATACAGGTGGTAGAAGGAGCTAGACAAAAAGAAGCAACCAAAATAATTGGGATGGATATACATGAAATGAAAAGTGAAAAGGCAAAGATTTATGGAATTACTGATTTTATAAATATTTCTGAAAAATCAATTTCAGAATTAATTAAAGATGCTACCGGTGGACTTGGTGTTGACTACTTTTTTGAGTGTACAGATGTGCCTCAACTCACTATCAATGAAGCCATTCAATCAACTAGAATGGTATGTTTGAGTCTATCTCGATTAATTTAATATTTACTCTGATAATTATATGTATAAGTATATACACAAATTTTTTAAGTAGCATCCAATTTTTATGTTATCTCTATTTGCTTTTTGCGTTTTATATCATATGATACTACTTCATATAACATGATCATGCTTGTATTGGTTTCTATCTTCTTCTTTTTTTTGGTAAGGGATGATTCATAGTAATACTATTTTTAAGATGATGTTAAAGATTTCAGTTCAACAATATATAGAAAGAGAGAAGTAAATGCTTGTGTCAAACCAACAAGACGAATATCGTAATACTAGAATGATATGAATTTCTAAAAAAAAAAAAAATCAAAATCAAAATCACACATTTTTCAAATAGCATCATCAATTTTTATGCTATCTCTCTTTGCTCTTTGTGTTTTATATCATATGACACTACTTCGTATAACTTGATCATGCTTGTATTGTTTTCTATCTTCTTTTTTTTTTTTTTTGGTAAAGGATAATTCATAGTTATACTATTTTTAAGGTGGTGTTAACGATTTTCAATTCAATGGTATATGGAAAGAGAGAAGTAAATACTTGTGTCAAACCAACAAGACGAATATCGTAATACTAGAATGATATGAATTTCTAAAAAAAATAATCAAAATTACACATTTTTCAAGTAACATTATCATTCTTTATGTTATTTCTTTACTTTTTGTGTTTTATATCATATGACATTACTTCATATAGCATGATCAAGCTTGTATTGTTCTCTATCTTCTTCTTTTTTTGGTAAAGTATTTTATGATAATACTATTTTTAAGGTGGTGTTAAAGATTTAAGTTCAAGAATATATAGAAAAAGAGAAGTAAATACTTGTGTCAAACCAACAAGATGAATTAATACTAGAATGAATTTCATCCCCCCCCCCTTCTTAGTGAATATATTCGTCACATCTATCATAAATATTCTATCACAATTTCATGTTTTCCTTAAGTGAGGTAGTTATATGAGCTTATTCGATATTTACTACGATAATTACATGTACAAGCGCACACACACTAGTCAAGCAACATCATTTTTTTATGTTATCTCTATTTATTTTTTGCGTCTTATATCACATGACACTACTTCGTATGTCGTGCATGTGTTGTATAACTTACCTTTTCAATATATTTTTAAAAAAATTGTTTTTATATCCCATTTTTTGTAGTTACTTTATTAAATAGCTATTTTTTTAATGTGACTTGAAAAAAATATATTAGGGCTATGGAACAGTGATAGTGCTTGGAGCTGGACTTGTGTTAGATTGGCAAATGAGTTATGTCCCTCTCATGTTTGGTAGAACACTCAAAGGATCAATCTATGGTGGCATTAGAACTCACACAGATCTTCCATCTATAATTGACAAATGCATTAGAAAGGTACATTATCTGATACACTCGTGTTCGGACATTTTAAAAAGATTTCCATACTCGTGCCTGATCCTCCAAAAAGACCTTACTTTTAAAGTATCAAACACATGCCCGATAATGTTTTTTAAGAGTCCTAGTAACATTCAACTTATATATCTCACACCAAATTTGTAAGCTGTTATTAGTTAAAAGACATTGTGAATATGAGTTTTAACATGTAATCTCAATCAAGAATATTTTGAATTTTGAAAAAAGAAAGATATATTACGTTCAAATTTCACACTGAACTTTTGATATATGCATCCTAGTACTAATCCAAGGGAGGAGGATATTCAAAAAAAGAAAACGAAAATGAAATTTTTTCTATTTTTCTAGTTAGAATGGATTGGTCGTACCTGTCCCTAACCAATCAATAATGGCTTATGACTGACTCGCTATTCACTCGATGTCCGGGTTATTTTCTGCAGGAGATCAAACTAGATGAATTATTGACTCATGAAGTTTCATTCAATGATGTAAACAAGGCATTTGAGTACTTGAAAGAACCAAATTGTGTGAAGGTTCTTATCAAGTTTTGAGCTATTCAAATATGCTTTACTATATAGTTTATTTTCCTTCTATGTAACAATAAAAAAATTTAGCAATAAGGATATGAAGTTATGAAGTTATGAAATGTGGAACATAATCAAGCTTGTATTGTTCTTCTGTTTTTTTTTGTAGATATATTCATAGTTGTACTATTTCAAGATGGTGTTAAAGATTTCAATTCAACAATGTATATAGAAAGGGAGAAGTAAATACTTGCGTCAAGCCAACAAGGCGGAGAGAAACAAATGTGAGACAAATGTCTTGCATTCATTTGGTTGGTGCAAATGCAACCAACGAGTACGAACAAGTTTTTTCCTTTGTAGTTATTTCAACATATCGGAAACATGACAATCACAATAACAACTACATCTTAGTCTCAAACAAGTTGAACTTCACCAATCTTAATCCAAAATGTGAACTACAAAAGCTCATAATCTCACCAACTTACTGAAAGAATCTACACAGCTTTCTATTCTCCCCTTTTTTACACTAGCATGCTTCCTGCAAAATGAAGCTCACAGAGGAGGGAATGTACTATTGGCTTCCGCATTTAGCAAAGGGGAATTAAGCATTACGCTTAATGGATGAATATAATCTAATATGTTCCGACAAACAAGTACCTTTGAGGGAAGAAAACTTGTCTATCCTAAAAGGACTTGCTATCTGCAACATTTCAACAGGTAGGAGGAAGGACTTGAAACGCTGTCGTTGCTGCCAAATTTGGTAGTCGTCTCGTTTCCCTTTCCTGGTGTTCCACATTCACTGAAATCAAGTGTGCGTCTCTCACTCTGCAGAGGAACCAACAGTAGGAAAATCAACAAATGACCATGGCTGTGGAAAGATATATATATATATATATAACCAGATAAGCAGATTCCGGTTACTTTTGTCATTCTGCTTCTGTAAATTTGAGACAGGGATATTTTCAAATAAAGCCAAACTTTGGACGAGTTAGGAGTGACATTCGTCAGAATTATTACTATACTAGAGACTATGTGAGGCTACACAAGAAAGTATGTTCCTAACCCATAACTTACAGAAAGCACCAGTCTTTTTCCACATTCTACTCCAAAATAAAACGGATGTTACTTGAAAAAATGACAATTTATATTGTCTCATCAATTATTTCGTTCTAATGAGCAGTGTAGTTTACTTCCAATCAGTTTTCAATATAAGAGTAGAAACAAAAAGAGGAAAGTAGGTGTTTTAAGTGAAAACTGCAAGGCTATTGCTTGAAACATGCCAAAATTAGTATAGGATATAAAGACTAGAGAGAAGTGACGAAAATAAATGTTTTAAACAAAATATTGCAGGGGTACTGTATTTAAAAATAACAATATGTACAAGGATAGATCACTTCGCAAAAAAAGTTTGTAATCATGTTGACATAGGGACAAGACATACCATAGCATTTGAAGGCAGAAGGGTACAATTTTCATCTGCTTTTTGTTCCTTGGAATTCCTTCCCAACAGAATTGTTTCTGGAGTTTCACTTCCCAAGATCTGACGGGCATCCGCAATTGAAGGTGCAGTCTGCTCATTTAATTGCTTCATTAACCCAATAGCATCATAGCTTCTATCACCGGGGCTCATAAGAAACGCAAAATCCTACCAAATAAAGGAAAAACAAACAAATCAAAGTAATATAACATGAGCACAGGAATGTACCATTATCAACAAAAACGAATAAAGGAGCACTGAACACAAAGATAATTAGTAGTAGAACACATATTGTATATACCTCAAATGTAAGTTCTGTGTCATATCTTGGGCTAGACATAAGAGAATCCGTGAACCATGGAGATTTCCATGCTGAAGGAGATTCAATACTCCTTTTAAATGGTGTCTCTCCAAATCTGTAAACCATTAATTAGGTAAATGGATCATAAGAAACAAATCTGTAGCAAAACTCCTTTTAAGCCAATCATTAGGTAAAAGACCAACAGGTATAAATTTATGGGAGATAAGTAACAAAAAAATAAGAAGGAAAGAAAGCAAAGGAAGAAAACATTGCATTAATCTTACATGTTTGAAGTATCAGCACCAAATACATTTTCAGAATTTTCGGTAGTATTCTCCAATGCAGTTGATGTAGTATATTGCATTGATGTGGCTATGACAACACCGCTTTGACGCTTTCCAAGTATGTCAGGAGAGCAAACAACAGACGAGGAAGAAACAGTAGCTTGATTTGATGATGCAGCTTCAAGTCGTCTAGCATACTGGTTACCTAAAGCTTTAATACTTAAACTTGTAGCTCTATCATGCTTGGTGAAGAAACGATCAGGAGAGAAAAGCATGTCATTTGAGCTAAGCTCAACCAGAACTCCAGGAGGCTGTTTTACCTGATAACAGGAATGAGAACTCAAAAGTTGTATCTAAGCCCAATTAAGTTTAATGGTTTATTTTGTAAACCACACAATTCAAATCAGCTGAGAGCAAATTCCAAATACTACTACTTTTGTTTTTTTTCAAATATCAACCATATCATGCCCAAGTTAGTATTCCATTTGTGAAACTTGTAAGGATATATTTCTTTACAAAAAATACAATCTGGAATGGAGGTCCTACCTGTCACACATCATCCCATTCCCAAAAACAAAAAGAGGTGAAGCCAGAGAAGAAAAATATAATGACAAATTATAACTCACCTTTCCCATTGCATCATTGGCTCCAGCACATTCACTATGGAGCTCTTTATGGTAGTGAGCACCACCACCATCTAATTGCCTCTCTGAATTTCCAATGCATGAAAGTCCAGTTACTCCATCACCTGTCTCCTTTCTTCCATCCTCTGAGGATGGATGTAGATTTTCTTTGTCTTCAGTAGACGCTTTTTCATTTGCCGACTCATCAAACATGTCATCTACTCGGGGAAATTCTGTAACCATATTAGAGAATAATTCCTGATTGAGATCACATTCAAGCTTTTTCTCACATCTCTTTTCTGATAAAGGCGTCACCAAGTGACGCTGTCGCTTCTTTAATATAGAAGGAGTCCCAGTGAAAGTTTTGGCAGCACTTTTCAATATAGCATCTGGACTATCAGCTCTTGATGGTGAGTCCCACAACCTTAATGGAGTAGAGCAGTCTGTAGAAGTCGTCATCAACTGGCGGATGCCAAGAGGGCTATACTCTTGCTGTGTATCTGAACCAGATTGCTTAAGATCACAATACAAGAAGGGTGTATCCAAGCTTGGAAAGCGAGGAGGCTCATAGCATAGAGCTCCTTCATCTTTCTGTTCTTCTAGCCTTGAGGAATCTTTCGTATAATCAGGATGATCTTTCAGGACGGCATTGTCTATGCCATTGTCATTGGAAGGACTGCCAAACTCACTTGGACATATAAAATCATCACGTCTACTGCGGAAGGACTCTTGAACTGGGTTCTCAAGCGGAGGATAATGGAACTGATCTGAAGCAATACCAAACACAAGTGATCTATCCTCAGACGAAAAGTGCGAAGGAACAGAAAACTGCTGATGGGTTGAAGCTTCAAAATCATCAAAACTTAAATCATTGCAGTTTTGTGGAGCCATATTTCCTGATTCAGGGATCTGATAGTTTGATGATTGGTAAATTAAAGAATCTGCAGGTTCACCACTGCCATTAACTCCAGTTTCGGACAGAGAGCATTGAGGAATTCCTACCTCAGGGTATTCGATCCTGCTACCATCGAACAATTCATTGGGATTATATGGACCCTCAACTATGTTTCCTGCATTAGAAGTTGCTCCAGATTCCATTGCATTTTGCAATGGATTGGTTACCATATCATGGTTTTCATTGCCATTCAAACAGTGCATATAATTTCCCGAAGATTCCTGAATAAACTCCATAAAGTCATCCAGATTAAACTGCCAATCTTTCCCTGTGGAATTTCCCCAGTCATGTGAGAACGTATGCTGCTCAAGGGAGTTGTAATCCACAAGTTCACTGGGAACTTTTAGCATTGAACAAGAAACATCCTCAAAAGCTGGGGTATAGTACGTAGGACAAGGTGCTGCGCTAGAGCTTGCGTCCTTTTCAGGGATTATTTCTTCCGACATCCCACCGTTCTCTCTTATATGTACAAATGTGTTGCCCAAGTCACTTGTAGACTGGGGACAGCCAGCAAGAGTTGAACCTTGACTGCATTCCATAAATTCCTCCACTTCTGCTCCTTCTTTGTGAACACTTTCATCTTCACTAGTTTGTTGCAACATCACAGAAGAAGAAGGGATTGATTGGTTCTGACGGTTGACATTAGGCAGAGTAGGGAACTGTGCAAGTAAACCTGATGCTATATATGAGTCCCGTTTCTTTTTGACAGAACTATGCCAGTGATTTTTTATTGCATTGTCTGACCTGAAATTAGCCATAAGAGTTTTCACATGTCAACTATAACTTTGAAAGAATACTGAGAATAAGAACTCGAAAGAAAGTCTGGATGGAAACAAGCTCTTATCAAGCATAAAATTAACACCTCAAATTACCTTCCAGGCAAATATTTTGATAACTCTGCCCACTTGTTTCCATGAGCTTCGTGGGCATGAATTAGAGTCAATTCCTCCTCTTGCGTCCAAGCTTCTTTATTAATAGCAGGATTCAGATGATTGTGCCATCTAAAAAGATCACTCATAATAATCATTATAACATTCTTAGTCATATAAAGGGGATGATTTGCAACCTCAATGTTAACGAATCAAAGGAACTAGAAGAAATGTGACACCACAAAATTCCTATTGAGTCAAAGGATACATGTTACTAAGTTATATTTCCTGATAATATATGAAATAACAAATATTCTTCTACAGAAAGTGGCAATAGTTATCTACCTCTAGCATCTCATGCCGTCAGCATGCATAATTTTAGGTTTTAAGAGACTGGTTGAGTCATAAGCTGAGGAACAACATCTAACAAGTTAGTGAATAAGATTAGATAGGAAGATATCAGTTGCATAGGCTTGAAAAAGCTGCATAAAGTGAGTTTGTGATGTTAAAAGGGCAGCTAGGAATGAAAATTTCTTATTCGAAGTAAGTGAGAACATAATGTTAAATTAGGAATTTGGAACCCCACAAGTCTTGACATCTCACTTGCCTAATATATTCTGAAAACTTCGGAACTCTGTCATAGCAGAAGAAAAAAATACATTCATTTGTTTAGATGAACA